AGGGGCGGTCACGACTTCTTTGTGAGAGGGAGCCAGACCCTTTAAACTATTCGTCAACAGTGTGGTATGGACATCGATCGCCACATGTATGTCCTTTGATACTGTCTCAGACAATGTCAGACAATGTCAGTGTTTTCGACATGACATGCGGAGACTTTCGAGGCTCAGTGGCCCAGAGACCATTGATTTGGACTCCCGAGGAAGAAGCTCATGTTCATGGCTGCTGCACATCGTGAGATGATGATCGGGGAGGCGGCCACTGCCAAGGCCGTGGTGAGAAGCGGAAGCGGAAGAGCACGGTTGACGGGGCATGGTGGGACGGCCTTCAAGGATGTTTACTCCGATGGTTACATGGAAAGCCACACGTTTGTAGAGGAAAATTGTCATCCAAGGGGCCATTTTCCACTTCCATCAAAGATGTGGGCTCGCCATGACCTGTTAACAAAGAATGGGGGAGGTTCGGGGGTCGTGCTTGGATTGGGTTCGTGTTTGGAGTCTACAGTCAAGTCGAACAAAAACTGCAGAAGCATTTGGCTCTGGGAAACCCACCTTTCCCTCATTTGCACAGCCTCCTTCAGTGGCACCCACCGTCGCCCTTGAAAGATCGTGTTCGCCGGACATGTGACATGCCGCACGATCGAATGTGAGCAGAGAAGATCGGATCTTGTGACTGGGTTTGTGAGACGATCGGCAGTACCTTCGACCAGTACCTTCGGCAGTAACAAGGTCTCGTCGTCTCGTCGCCGACGGTCAATCAGAGGGACGACTTGGGATGTGAAGTGGGGCGATTTGAGTGTGTGTGTGTGTCTAGTTGATTGGTGGGAGCGATTGAACGGAATGGTTGATGTTTTCAATGAGCAGCATAGTGCAACAGACTGCCACCATCTGCCACCAGACCAGCGGAGTGGGAGACACTACTACGGGACTCGTGGGAATCTAGTTCTGCAGTCCTGCCCCAGGTGCCACATTGGCATGTTCCAGTGGGTCTCCCTGGTTTAGAGGGCTTGCCACTCTCATTGCCCTGCACTGGCTGCCCAAAGGGGCATGCCCGACGATATTAGTTGGATCTCAAGATGCAACAGCTAGGAGTCAGGAGTTTCTATCCTTGGTCGTTACCCTGACTGCAGGAAGGGACACTTGATCTTCACCAGCTGAGGTGAAATCTTGGGCAGCAAACACAATCTCCACATAATAGATGTGACGCACATTTAATGTGGACTGTTGAGCAACATCCCCCAGCCTGGAGGATCAACAGTCCCCAATCAACCTTAAATAATCAACAGTCCCTTTGTTACTTCACCGCATGACCCCCCGAGTGAAACTCCGTTTTTGTTCTAGAGTTTCACATGACCCCCTTCGGGGCAGGGCTATGGCTTCACCGTGCGTAGTAGCTTCTTGTTCCTAGTAGTAAGGCCAGGAGACTGGTACTTGTAGCATCCTTGCTCAGGGCTATGGCTTCACCGTGCCTGAGGGAGCTGGAAAGATCGACTGGAAAGGCTTGAAGGAGCGCCGCGACAAGTACGTGCCACGGCCAGACGGTGCCAGACGGGTGGTTTGGGCTGGTTTGGTGGTTTGGTGAATGGTTCAGGGTGCACCCCTGGTGGACGGGCACCTACTACGGAGAAAGATCTTCCAGTTGTTCTGCAGTGTTTTTGACCTTTTTGGAGGCATCTCATCAGAGCCTGCCATGGAACTGATTGAATGGAACTGCTACAACCCACATCAAGCCTCTCCAATGAAACCCAGGTTGGAGGCCATCGCTAGTAGGTTGTTTTTCTGTATTTTCTTTCTTGATAGATAATTATTACTCTCGCTGGAACTAACATGGAAGTGGAAAACCACCTGTTTGTAGTGGATTTCATGGTCTTCCAAGGGACCATTCTCCACTTCCATGTTAGTTTTCGGGAGTGTATGTGACACGTGTATTTATTTACCGCAGATCGTGGGCCGCAAACTGCGGAGCCACGAGGCCCGAAGCGCGGGCCGCAGGCCTGTGACCGGCTGACAGCGCCCAGACCATCCATGTATGACCCCCGGAACCACCCCAGTGTTGGCTTGGTTGGGCCATACATGCCATACATGGGTTCGTTTGGGTTCTGCTTTTTGGCGGGTCCGTCCTCCAGTGCACCGATCATCCTCCCTTGAAACATTCCGGGGTGTTGTTCTTTCTTTTTTTTCTGGCAAAGATACGCTCATGATCTAGCATGTTCAGCATTTTCTCAGGTGGCCAAATTGAATACCAACTACACCGCCGGCTGGAAGAAGGAAGGCCAGGTCCGTGGATGGGGCGGTTTGATCAGGATTCATGGGGCCAAGATAGGGCCAAGATGGCAAAATAGCCCGAGCCGTGCGGCTCGAGCCAATGGTGTCCAGCAAAGATCGATGCAAAGGAGTCTAAGAGTCACCCAGCTGGAGGGTTGGACCCTCCAAAGCCTACCTCACTTGAGCTATAGCTATAGGCTATGGGCTATTTGTTTTTCTTTCGATATCAAGATGATGATGCTCAAACATCAAGAGGTGATCAATATCTTGATAACCTCTTGAACTCTTGATTGAATCAACCTAGGATAACTAAGCTATCCTATCGATCACTATCTATCTAGTATGCTCAATGATACTCGTGCAGGCCCACCATGAATGCTGGGTGATCGATTTGCTCAGTCTTAATTCAACACACCCATTGTTTCTGTTTTCATGTAGAAACTATAACAGAGATGAATGTTCGACCAGCCATTTCGAAGGCAAGAATTCATCATGTTTGGCTATGGCTATGATTATGACATTTGCAGAAGAAGGTCATCCATCAGCTCCCTTCCCAAATCTTCCAGGTTCCGCTGGTCAGATGTTGCAGACAATTTGTTTCCATGTGGAATCTGTTTTGTATGACGGTTACATGTCAATCCCTCGCGTGCTTTCTTTTCCAACACATTTTCCGTGTCCAGATTTCCGTGGGGAAAAGAAGCAGGGGCCTCTCGATTCCAGGTGTCGAAGTCATCGAAGGCCTCTCGAAGTCATCGGCGGGGTGGCGACATCTCTGAACCATTGAGCGGGTCCATGACGCTCACGGGTGTGTGCAGGTGTGTGACCAAAAACCCCTCAAGTTGGGAGGGTCCTGGTATGTCCTGGTACATGGGGTGTTTACGTGTTATAATGTACATTGTATATACCCTATGCCCTATGCGTCCAAAGACTATACTTAATTTGTATAGGTTATGTACCTGAAATCATGGTCACACTGGTCACGCCCCCCCACCCACATTCATGCAACCTTTCGCTCCGCATCCCTCACTTCAAGATCGTGACGCTGCAGAGTGGTTCAACGCTATTAGGTTGGAGGCCATTGCCATTAGTAAATCAAAAGAAGATGTGTGTGGGTGTGGGTGTATTTTATCATGTTTCTTCGTTTTCTTGCTTTGACCCACCCACGGCGGCGCCCATTTTTTTGATGGCTTCAGGGGGGCACAGATTCCGTGTGCCCGAAGCAAACACATGGGGTCACCTGAACGCGGTGTACTCTGATGCCCCCCAAATACCATGAGAATGAAACCCGGTGTCCGGGACATAATATGGTTTTTTTCTGCCATAAAGGTCGAGAGCGACATATTTATCACCATCATAGCATCATCCATTCGATTCGCTTTGCTTCATCACGGGAGGATGGGAAGACTTCATCATCATGCCATATCATGCCCATCAAAAAACAAAACACCTTCAAACCGCCGTGATTTCCGGTCCGGTTCTTCATGGCCCAGGTTCCGACAGGGTGTGATACTGTTTGGTAAGGCCAGCATGAAAAATACTAATCGTATGGTGTTCCTATGTGTTCCTGCCCTTCACCGCCAGTCCTTCGCCAAGTCTCATAAGTCTCTGGAACCCGAACGCGCGCCATCGCAGAGGCTTTGCCAGCTTCACAGACGCGCAGACCGTATCAGTGCAGCTCGAATCAACTAGGTTCGGGTGTTGAAGATGGTTCGACTGGAACCTGGCGCAGGGCTATAGATGGCTCTAACCTGTTTATTGCTGAAATATTTCTTGAGAAGGTTTCGAGGAAGTGAAATTGGAGCGAATCGGATGGAGGAGAAGCAAGAACCAAGAACTCCACCAATCATCATCATCGTCATCGTCATCATCATCATCATCTTCTTCATCATCATCATCAAGACAACCAATGGAAATTACTTTTTATTTTTTATTATTATTGATATATTGTCATGTTTTGTCCCATTCGCATGCATCCGAACCCCCCATGCGACCTCCAACAACTCGCATCAAAGCATCAGCTCCAAGGCAATGCAACGATGGCACCACTCGTGTCTTGAAGGGCCAGCACATCCTAGTGGCTTGTGGCGGGCTGCCCTCCGAGCCAGACATTCCGGGGGTGGAGCATGCGTCCCTCGACTGCAGACCGTGTAGCGGACCCGGAGGTCGGGGGGTTTTGACAGAGAAGGGGCCCTGGTGGACGGACGACGCAGAGAACTGGAGAAACTTCAGGGGACGGAAGGGGAAAGAGTTCACGAGTTCAGGTGACTGGAAAACCACCTGCGCATGCAGAACCGAGACTGCCCCAAATTAGACTCGGGATGACTCGGGTATTTAGTGGATGAAACGAACAAGTGAGAGATTAGGCCAAATGAACAACAGGCCAATATGCAACTGTACACCACCCATGGGAAACCTCGTGCACAGGAATCAATTGTGAAACCTCGTTGAATTAAAGCCCCTGATGCGGTTCCAAAGGGCATTCTGGATCATCCTTCAAATCTTTCGAAGCGGTTTGTTCTTGGTTGGCGATGCTTTCGATGTCGGTTTTGAAACTCCTTTTCCCTCTAAAGGCCTCTCCAATATAGAGAACATCGTAGCAGAGTTTGTGCAAACTGTGAAGCTGAAGATGCAAGGGTCCTTGGAACCACCTTGTACAGGTCATCCTGAGAGATGTTTTTGGATGGTCCACGGTGTCCACGCAGTCCACGGTCCAAAGGGGACAGGACCCTTTCTGAAGTCTACGACTGGCAGCTGTAGTTCTGCGGGCATGTGGCGCACAGGATCAACAGTGATGGCTTCTTCGAGTTGGAAGAGCAGCCGAAGAAGGCGACCTTCGAGTTGGCGAACTGAAAAGGATACCGACGATGAACATAGGGAACCATGGGGAACCGCATTTTTTGAAAGAACCCCTTCGGATCGCTTCCTGAAAAGGATTTCAACAGTGGTTTCCGATTTGGAGGTGTTCTCTGGTGTTCAAGCAGGTCGACATCGTGTCTCACAGACCCAACCGCCACTTGGAGACCAATCGATGCAGGTGATGCGGTAAACATGCCCAAACCACGCCGAAAAAAACGGGTCGGGTTCCTCCGGTTCGTTGTTCGCACGCTCGAGCAGGTGGCGGTGGTGGGAGCTGGCTACATTGCAGTGGAGATGGCTGGGATCCTCCATGCTTTGGGCTCTGAGACCCATCTCTTCTTCCGCCGGGACGCCCGGACGGAGGGCTGAGGGCTCAGGAGAGGAGAGGATTGGGGAGGACCGGGAAGGTGGATGGAAGGTGCGGAGTGCGAAACCAGTGAAGAGCTATACCGGATGGCACCAGTTTGGTTTGTTTCTCAAACTGGCTCCTCGAGCACCTGCTATCAAGAAGTATCAAAAAGTATCAGCTAAGTATATGGAAAAGTGATCGTTCTCTTGGTTGGGAGCACATGTGAGCTCTGGATTGATGCTTCTTGCTTTGCAGTTGGAGACCATCCACGTGTCGACCTTCCTTCACGATCCACGCGACACGTGTTCGACCTTCCGACTTGTGGTGGAAGCCGGTGCGCTCGCAGCAGTGCCCTTTCTTTATTGGGTATCAATGTGTCCACCATTTTTCCTATGGTGGCTGTCATATAGTGTCATACATATATATATATATATTCAAGTGACGATCAGATGAGACTTTTGATGATGTTTCCAAAAGCCAGAAGAGGCAAAAGTCCAATGAAAGACAAACACACCTTTTGACTTCTCGGCCATGGTGCAAATACAGCCATTCTGTGAAACCCACCCCTTCTTCTTTGTTGGACGCACCACCTTGGTTTCTCTCTGCCACCCACGGTACCCGAGGCGGAGACACAGTGCTACGCCGCGGTTTCGACCCCTTCATCGTCCAGACCCTCATGGAGGTCCGGGAAGAAACGGCTGCCCCCCCGTGCCACGCTACTAGTAACAGGTGCCTTACTAGTAGTAACAAGAAGCTATTAGAAACAAGTGCCACGCTACTAGTAACAAGTGCCTTACTAGTAGTAACAAGAAGCTATTAGGAACAAGTGCCTTACTAGTAGTAACAGGTGCCACGCTACTAGGAGCAAGGACGCTATTAGAAACAAGTGCCACGCTACTAGTAACAAGTGCCACGTGGGTTCACCGGGGGTTACACCGGGTCGCTCGACCTCCGGTTTTTCCGAAGGACGAAGAACGGAACTTGGAGACGGGAGACGCGAGACTTGTGGCAACAGAGGATTAGGATGGATTAGGTGAGAACGAGTGTGAGAACCTATATGATATGCATAATATTATACTCACATTATATATATAGTTCGATTAATTATTTGATCCAGCTTTTGCTTTGCAATACCAGCTTTGATATACCTTGTGTTTTGGTGTCGTTTATTCAACAACTCTTTATGGGTCTCCTGAATAATATATATATATGCTAGCCCCCCCCTAAAACCTACCTTGCACCACTTGATTGGGAAGTTTTTATGAAAGTCTTGTGTTGTACCATATGGTTAACATGACTAGCATAACCACTCAAGCTCAACTTCAAGGTATCAAAATTAAATCTTACAAGGTGATATATGATTTATTTGATGATGTAAAACAAATGTTAAATGATATGTTAGATCCTATAATAGAACATAAATTTGTTGCGCAGGCGAAGGTGCTTCAGATATTTAATGTTTCTAAAGTAGGCAGAGTAATTGGATGCTTAATTACTTCTGGTATTGTTACAAAAAACTTACAGGTATCTGTTACAAGAGAAGGTAATAATATTTTAAGCAATGTAAACATAGTTGATTTAAAGAGAGAAACATATTCTGTTACATAACTAAAAAAAGACTTTGAATGTGGAATTTTGCGCAAACATAGATTTTTTTGAGCAAACTATTTCTAAGCAAAGTCTTATATTAATTTTTTCTAATTTAATTTTACCACTGCTTTTTTGTACTTGATAGGATATTTTAGGGTGAGTCTTTAGAAGACGGGATAGTTATTTGTAGTCAAAATGTTATTTTTAGCTTGTTTTTTGTTATTGTTTGAGGGGGGGCTTTTTCTCTGTGCGTATCATTTTTTATCGTTTAATCTTTTAAACTAAATCGTACGCTTTAAGGTATTTACTATTGTTTTAATAAGCAGCCCCTTTGCTTGGCTTTATATGTTTTACAGAGTTTAAGAAACTTTGCCTGAATACTTCCTTTTTCTATTTTATATTGCTTTCCTCAAGATAGAATAATTGCTAGCATGATAATTTAGTGATTGAGTTTTAAGTTTATCTGATTGTTAATGTATGCGCTTTTAGATAATACATCATTAATATGCTTTAGTCTATTTGTCTTAATAAATTAACTCATATATTTTTCTACATTTAGGCATTTATCTACATTTAGATTTGCACATTTTTTTACGTTTTAAGTGTTTGAGTTCATATAGTTGAAAACATCACTGTTAGTTTCAGTATGTTTAAGCTTAGATATTAAAAACTATGTTTGCTCATTGGTATTTATTGAATGTAGCATGTTATTTATTACCCACATTTTATTTAGGGCATTAGAAGATAACAATAAATATTATCTTCTTGTCCCAGATTTACTTATATCTCTTGCTGGGAATAGTTTTTTCTTTGCAACTCTTCTGTCTAGCACTATTTCTGAGTTTCCAGTACCTTTAAATTCTTCAAAAATTACTTCATCCATTCTAGATCCTGTTTCTATTGAAGCACTTGCTATTATGGTTAGCGATCCGCCATTTTCTATATTGCGAGCAGCACCAAAAAATCGTTTTGGAATATGAAGTGCGTTAGAATCTACACCTCCAGATAAAACTTTGCCAGATGATGGTGCAACAGTATTATGTGCTCTTGCAAGTCTTGTTATAGAGTCTGGAAATATTACTACATCTTTTTTTGTTCTACTAACCGTTTTGCTCTTTAATCAGCTAATTGCACATGTCTTGAAGCAGGCTCATCAAACGTTGAACTTACAACTTCTCCTTTTACAGCTTTTTGTATATCACTTACTTCTTCAAACATTTCTGGGTGATTTGAAATAGCATTAATTAATGTTTTCATCAACATAGTTTTTCCGCTTCTTGGGGGAGCAACAATTAAGCTTCTTTGACCTTTTCCAATAGGTGCGACTATATCTATTAACCTACAACTCAAATTTTGCTTACCTGCCCCTTCAATTTCTAGGTTATTTTTTTTCATCTGGAAATATAGGTGTTAGATTGTCAAAATAAACTGTTATAAAGTTTCTGGCAAACCGGACATTGCTTGCAGACCATCGCGCGCAGAAAAAAATAACTCTGTTTGGAAAAAACAGCTGCGGTGATAGTAGTAAGTCGAACTTAGAGCCAAACCCAAAACAACATCAAAACCAAAAAAACAGAAAAACAAAACTCTGAGGAGAATCTTTGGTTTCAGCCTGAAAGATGTTTGTTTTTTTTGTTTTCATTATTTTTTTTTGGTTTTTGCTTTGGTCTATGCAACCTGGAATCACAAAAAACTAAGAAACCACAAGGTTTCTTTTGTTGTTTGCATATGTTTTATTGAACAACCAAAAAACAACATTGTGTTTTTTTTGTTTTTGGGCATTGGTGATTGTATAGACCAAAGAAAACAAAAAAGAACCTTGTGTTTTTTTTGTTTTTTTGATGAATGAAACCAAAAAAAATCAATGAACACCAAAAAACATCTTTCAGGCTGAAACCAAAGATTCTCCTCAGAGTTTTTTTTTTTTTTTTTTGTTTTGGCAGTCTGTGATTAGTAAATGTACGCAGTGAGCCTACTTTATTGCGTATGGAGACTATTTTACATATTATTTGATTTAGTTTAATGTTTTATTCATATAATTCATCTTCATCTCCTCAGGTTAAGGCTGCGGTGGGGGCTGAGTATGCAATCTATCTATTTTTTTAATTTTATAATTTACAAACATATGTGAAATTTATATAAAATATATGTTCAACCTTTATTTTTTACTCAGAAAAAACGGTGCCCAAAATATGCATTTTTTACTGTAAATATCAGTGAAATATGAGTTTGGGTAGGTTCTTTTTTTGGGGGCACCATATAATATATATATATACTATATATATATATGTTGTGCCTTTGTTCAAACCACATTTCACCAATCCTTCACCCTCTTTGTCAAGCCGGAAAGAAAAGAACGGAATCCTTCACCCTATTTGTAGATTCATTGGCCAAGTTCCTTTTTCACCTCATGCCTGTTTCAGTCTCAGTTGCTAAGGGAATTTCACGATTGATTCACAGAAGAACCTCTAATTGTCCAGATCCCCTAAGACCACCCCGACAAAGCCCATTTTCTTGAGTATAGTATCCAAATGTTCATATGGTCAAACCTCATAAAGGTAAAAACATGTAAGCATGTTGCCAATTAATCTGGTCCATCCTTTGAGAACCCACCAAACAGAAACACATTGCTGCATTTGGTTTTGCTTTGTGTCCAGTTTAACTACTGTACTGACTGTATATTCCTTTGAAGTTCTTTGATGTATCCTTTATATAAGTTCTCTTGATCTTGCCCTGATTCCGTTGAAATCACGATATATTTGTTTTTTGTGGTATAGATCCTGCTTGAATGCATGTTGATTTCAGTTGAAATCCGTTGGTTCGTTTTCAGTTCCCATGAAGGGATTAAGTTGTGTGGATTCTTCCCCATAAAGAGATGTACCACGCCACCTGACTGGGCAAGATGTCGTCCCTGTGTTTGTCTCGAGATCCATTTAAGATCGACCTGAGGGAGGAAACTCTTCAGACTTTGTTACCTCATTGGTTGATGAGTGCACGCCAGGTTTTGCAGAATCGCTGATGGAGGGTTGCAGTGTTTATTCAAGGTTTATAAGTATATACAGTTATATATCTATATTTAGATAGACATATCAGGACAGGCTTCGACGGTGGTCCTTGATTCCTTGAACATGTTCTGATACAGCGCCCCAAGAATCCTGATGGGGGCAGAGATGCTGGGGTAGTTCAGAAGTGCTCTGAGAGTCATATTACCACATTGAAGCTGACTAGTGACTAGTGACATCTAGTGACTAGTGACTATATAGTGCAGAGAGTTGTCAAGTCCAGGCTTTTAGCTTTGGTTTCCCACCTGTAGGTCGGACCGCAGGTGCGCAGCCAGTTCCGGGAAGGACGCAACAGTGCGACCCATTTGACACGCTCGAGCACAGATAATCTGACATGCGTCGTGTGACACAGCACTACTTCGAGAGCGGTTGCCTCAACGTTGCGATGTCAAACAATGATGACACGTGCTCTCCTTTTGATGCGCTTGGTTCAAGCTCCGATTCCCGCGTGCTTGTCCCACCATTGTTGCCAGCTCCAAGTGGCTGGGACTCATGTGTAGGGCAGGGTCAAGCCTAACAAAATCAAGCCGAGACTCCAGAGATGATGCTTTGCAGCGGAGGCCATGGAGCATCATGGCCCAGTCCTCCACAGAGACTTGTCTCAACTGACGTGGAGGTGAGCCATGTTTCCAAGTTGGGAGTGTTAGGCTTCACATCACTCTATTTTTTGGAAGATTGCCCGGCACCAACCAATGATGTGGTCGGACTTGGTTTGTTTGGACGATTTTGGATGCATTGAGGTGCCCGTGTACCAACCTGCATCGATGCTTTGGTTGTTGGACTTGAAGCCTTCAAAAGCAAGCCACTTGATTCATCGACAACGGATCAGCAAGAACATGTGAACGACCCCACGGAATTATATACCAGCAAACTTGAATGGGGGCTCGGGATTTACATGTATTTGTTTCATTTAGCAGTGGTGTGGATTAGCTCATGCCGGCCTGGAAATGAGGTTGTCCCTTATCAGAGGTGTTCTACCCTACCAATTTTGAACTTGGAGGGTGACTGCATATAACTACATAAAAACAACAAAAAAACTTAAATCAGAAACGAAGCCCCTCCCCAAACACAGCAAAACTATATAAACGTCCATTGAGACGTGTTGTGCATGGGCCAGGCTTCAGGCTTAGGCTCTAACACCATCAAAGTTGGAGGTGGGACCTCTTTTTGACTTGATTGTAGGATCCGTTGGGAGTTTGAATTGTTTTTGGTGACTCGCACGCTCTGTTTCGAGCACAAAAGCGGCTTCAAGTTGTACACTTCTTGATTTGTGCGTTCCTTTGCGGATCTGCACTCCTCCCTGCTCATTTCGAGCAGCTCTGAAAAGACCGGCCTCGTGCTCAAGCCGCTGTTCCACACACCTTGCACTGCCGGATTTCCAGCATTGTGCCGGTGACAGCTCCACACTTCGGGTCGGTGTGAAGATTCGCCACCTGGCCCTCTATAGAGGTAGGTGGTCTGGCAGTATGGCCTCTGCTGCTGCGTCGAGCACTGGCATGCGCCGCAGATGGCCTTGACCTGCTTGCGATTTGCATTTCGCAAGCCACGGCAGTCTTCTCGTCGATGAAAGCATTGCCCGCTCTCAGCAAACCACGCCTCCCATGCAGGTTCTGCTCTGAACCTTCTCGTGCCAGTGAGCGAGATCACACAGTGCTCATCTGTCTGATTCGGAGGTTCCTCTTGAGGTTCAGCTGCATCTGGCCTTTGAGATCGTCGATCACCATCTGTCATTCTCGATCAACTGGGCATCCAAAGAGCGCACCCATGCCCTCCTTTGTGCCTCTGTTGAACTCACGGACTCCATTGATGATGCCGTTGAAGGACCTCTTGATCGAGCCGTTGGCCTTGTGATCGATGGAGCCCCGCTTCCTTCCAATGCCATGATCTCGACAGTCGACATTGATGAAGTTGGACCCTCAATTCGATCCCTTGTCCTTGACCCGGACGAAGTGGCGTCCCTTCCCAGTGCCGTAGGTCTCGACAGCGATGAAGACCCAGCTGACTGCGCCCTCACGGACCTCACAGCAATGGACTCTTCCTCATCCCATGACTTCCATCGGTTCCGACACTTAATTCTGGAGGACCTTCATGAGTACCATTCCCAGCAACCTTCATGAGTACCATTCCCAGCAACATCATCATGACGCTGAGGAGGTACAGTATTTGGTCGCCCTCCATGTTCTCATCCACCTCCTTGGTGACATTTTCAGCCATTGCCCCGTGGACTTCCTGCAACGCGGAGAGCACCACCACAATCCTCATTGCCTTCTCCAAGTGGTACTTCGCCACCAGCTTCATGGCTTGAGGAGCGACAATTCCCTTGTCTTCTTCGTGGACCTCGTCAACCGAGTTGGGCTACCATGACATTCCCATCCTTTGCCTCAACTCATTGAGTCTAGCAATAGGTAGGGCCTTGGTCCCGATGTCGGCAATGAGCTCGCGTCCTGGTTGGTACTTCAGCTCCCATTGGCCCGACTGGATCCTCCACCTCAAGTGAGCAGCACGTACCTTCAGATGTCTGGTACGCCAAGCCCCTGTAGCGCAGTTTGCTATCGACACTGCTGCGGTGTTGTCACACTTGAGGAACTTCGGGATGTCCATGGCCATCTCATCGACCAAGCATGCTACTATGCTATCGCCGACCACCACCGCCTCGATGACTTTGATCAACTCAGCTTCTGCGGTTGAGAGCGCTGGGAATCGCTGTCTGCAGCTTTTCCATGCCACGGGTGCTCCGCCCAAAGCGGTGATCACGCATCCATGGCTGTGTGCTCCTCCTGGGGCAACGAGGCATCACTGACTGACTCCAGGATGAGGTTGGCGTCCCGCCTGTACCACAAACCCAGCCCTTGCGTTGCATTGAGGTGCTTGATGAGCTGGTGTGCAGTTTGGACTGCCCATTTTGGTGCTCGGCTGGTTGCTGAGCAAATCCTGCTCACCACGTAGGCGATGTCTGGTCTTGTCTATGTTGCCAACTCACCCCCAAGCTGTTGGGCTTCTTTCACCTGCGCAGGCGTCCGATCTAGTTCATCTTCAGGTTCTTGGGATTCCTTCATCATCTGAGCGCTGTTGAGGTCCTCCATGCCATGACGTCGAACCACTTCCCGCAAGTAGGAAGATTGATTGGCAAAGAAGTCTCAGTTCCATGCCACAGTAGCGCACCGGTTCGGCCTCTCCAACCCACGTAGGTTCTGAGGTCTCCCATGTTTTTCGGAAGCTCTGAAGTCCTCCTTCCACAATGTCTTTGGGGCCAAACAGCATAACATCGTCCACGTAGACGAGAGCCAGCCCTTCGACCTTCGCCCCATCTTCTGAATCTCGTCGGCGCACCAGCCACAAGTTCTCCTTTGCGAAGCTCTGCTGGTACTCGTAGGTGATGTGGTTGGCCTGAAAGGACGTACTCCTCGAACAGAGGCACCCCCAGAAACAGCGCAATCGGTGGGCCTTTCGGCCCTTCATCACCAGCCTCCAAGTCCGTCTCGTCCTTGATGACCAGCTGCACCGCCGGCTCGGGCTCCTCTTCGCCTGGCCTTTGCCGTCTGCGGCGCTGGATCGACATGGCGTCGCGGGGCGGCCTGCGGCTCGTGCAGGGCTTACACCTCACCTCGCCTAGCGCAAGGTTGGGCTCATAACCTGTTGACCTCGCACGCTCTTTTTCGAGCACAAAAGCGGCTTCAAGTTGTACACTTCTTGATTTGTGCTTTTCATCCTCTGCGGATCTGCAGTTTTCATTCGACGTCCATTGCACCAAGACCTTCTCAAAGGCACCCTCCTGCACGTCTGTGGGTGCAATCGGAGGGCCCAGACTGGTGCCTGTTCCCAACCATCACCCTGGAGGGTTGAGATCGAGTCTCTTTCCCGCCGGCCCCCCAGGAACCAGCACGCCCGCACGAATCAGTTGCTTGGCGAATTTGGGTTGGGCTAGGTCATTCTTTAATCTTAGGATGTCTTAGGGTAGCGAGTGAACCTGCTTCAGAAGGGCTCTGCTTCAGATTGCTCTACTCAAAAACCATTCTTAGAAAATCCTTTGATTTTCCCAGGGAGAATGATCTTTTTCAGGGATCACCGGTGTCTATTCAAGATCTTGTTTTTTTTCACATACGTTTGAAGCAACCCTGTTCTGATTATGTTGCTAAATGATTTAGTTTGGAAACATCTCATCACAGTGTCACTGAACATTTTGTGATAAGTCACTTGAAGTAGACGTGCATGACAAGATGCATTGCGCATGAATCTGCATGACAAGGATGCTTGGAACATTTGATTTGCCGAATCTCTTGCGAGACCCTGGACCCACCAACATGGACAGCATGGACTCCGACCTTCCTCCGCCTGAAAACCAGCGGAGGCAAACAGGACGATGGGCGTCTCACCTACGTTGCGACGGAAGGGCCGATGGGCGAGGAGGCAATCTTGAAGGATTTCGCCGCTTTTTCGCGTTGAGGAGTTTACTTTGGAAGTATGGGATTTGGGGCGCCAAGTAACGCTAACTGGCAATCACCATTGATCACCCCTGAAATGAACGATTTACACTCTCGATCCTTCTGAGCTGATTGTGCTGGTTTGTTTGCCAGTTCGGATCAGGAAGCGCCACAGTGAGTTGTAGCACATGTTTGCCAGAGTCCCCCATGAATCTCCATGGATGTTTGGTACTCGTACGTAGTCGTTTCTTCGATTTGATGCTTAATTTTCTGTGCCGAGGATTGCATTCTGCTGGCAATTGGCCGCAAGCCGGTGTCAGTGCTTTGGAAGAAGAGATTGTGTCCGCGTGATCATCATCCGCGTGATCGTGATGTTTCAACATCAAAGGGTCATGTTATTTTATATGTTGCTTGCTACCACAAAGCATTAAGCAGTCAGTCAGTGATTGACATTTTTGTTGCATTTGGGGAAACCTTACGACGTAATACAATCAGTTATAAATGAGGAGTCAACTCTTGTTTGGTGAGAGAGCACGAAGCACAGGAGCTGACTTCGTAGACTCTGTTGCATCCAACACAATCCCACAATCCCTGCTCGACATAGACGAAACACATGGATATGCCCTGAAGTCTGAAATACGTGTTGCTGTTTTAGCGTGTTGCTCCGAAGCAAGGCTTCACACAACTGTGTATTTCGATGTGTTCAGGCAACAACACTCAGTGGCAAAATGAGAACATGTTTGGTTAAGTTAAACGATATGACACTCTTCTGGGTGTTCTGCCGATGTTCCGCGTCCGTACGTTGCCCCAAGGACCGCTTGGGATTGCAGAACACGGGCGTGGAGCTCAACAAGTCAGGACGGCTGGAGCTCGCCCGTGTGTGACGGGCCGTGGAGCTCGGCCCGGAGGCTGGACCGTCCTAGCGCGGCCCTTCTGAAAGTCATGGGCTCATCCGTTTGAAAGCGGAGGGAGGGAACAGCAAAGAACAGAAAGTCATCGGGTCACAAGCAAAGACCATTGCAAAGCTCAAGACATCCGCCCCAAACAAACAGAGCAACCCAGAATATGGTTGTTGAATCGGGATTGGACAATCTTCCCACATGCGTGCTATGTTGGCCGCAGGGAGTGCACATATTGTGATGACAAGAAGAACCACACAGCCAAAGCCAAACCCAGACACTCCATGTATGGCATGGCATATTTGCCTACGTTGGGGTCAATGCAAGCATATATTTCAATCATGCAGTGTTTGAGACATGATCTGAGCATGGAGAACACTGACCAAGATCACAACAACAACCATATACAGATACAATAATCTCAACAGGCAAATTCTGTTGACAGGTAGCAACAGAAAGGTGGTGAAACCAACACGCCATAAGAATGCAAATGGGCTGATTTAGGATGCAGAAGAGTGGGAAGACAGTTTTGAACGATCTATTCTTATGTTGGTTTTGATCTGGACACCCAAACCAAAATGACACTGTCCAAAAAAGAGCATCCAACGAGATGTATCATGATCCACCCATCGAGGTCAGGTTTGTCCCAATACTATGACTCATCGTTGGATATCGTTGGTTAACATTTGTTTTTGTGGGGGGAAAGGCTCTTTTAACGAGTGAGATATACGTATTTCACGCGTATACTGGATGCTGCTGGTGATGCATGATATACCCGAGTTGTGGCATGCTGCTTCTCGGACTTGCTCGGACGCAGTCCAGCACAAAAACCACCAGTGGGGCAGGACACATTGTTGTGGATGCCTTTGAGAACACCAACGTGCCAGGAGACGAAGGGACCAGCGCTGGTTGTCGGAATCATTGAAGGTTTGCGCTGGTTTTCTGCAGGTGGTGAGGCTCACCGTGTACAGGTTGTGCGTTTATTTGGAGGGACAAAGTTGGGACTAGGAGTTTAATTGGGCGAGTTGCTTTGGGGAGCTGTGAATAACGGTTGAAGACGTGCGAATGGCGTATGAATAACGGGAGTTGCGGACGCCGCTTCTGTGGTGCTACGGCCCGGTGCGAAGCAATTGGGAGAGCAAACTTCTCCACTTCGAGATCAGATGCGTCACAGAATCAAAGAACCGCGGGCGGAGACGAACAAACTCCAAATCCCAAAGGGAACGGAGATGCTGGACGCTGGAGGAGATTGAAGTGTTGTTTGTCGATGTGTTTATCTCCCCAGGTTGCTATAAGATACTGAAAAATCCTTCGGACATTGGGTTTCATGGACCTGTGTTGTGCTGGAGCTGCTCGCCCAGAACTGCAGGAATCTATGCGATTGGCGACGTGCGGGGCCCCGGTGAAGTGACTTCATTGCACGGCCTCCCACGAAGTGACTGCATTGAAGTGACTGCATTGTACGGGAGTGACTTCATACACCTGTTCCAAGGATTGTCAAGGTTACCAGTGCAATTATCATTATTTTTCATTGGTTATATATAGTTATATGTGGACCTTATTTCGGGATGTTCATGGACGTTTGAAGACGTCACAAAGTGGCAACTCCCCAGGGATTTTGATCAAATCTCTCCAAGTCGCAACTCACCTGTTTACTTTGCAGTAATTTGGATTCTTGTTCGAACCTTCATCATTACGTACAGTGGGTGATCTGGAGCAAATCTGGAGGCTGTGGGTTCAGCCTTCTCGAACCCATGGCAGGTTCGCAGGTTGACATCCTCAGTCTCTGTGTGAACCAGGGTCCCTTTGGTTTTGACACATTCATGCAGGACATGGATGTTTTGAAGCTGATGTGTTTTGCTCCTTTTGGATTATGGATGATCGTGGATAAGTTACAGGCTGTAATGGGGTTGTGTTCCTAGTAGAACGATGTTCCTTCTGCTTCATGACCATGTTCTTCTTGTTTTTGGTACTTATTGGGAGGCAGATTACTTTGCAACAACAACAACAACAAAGACACATGCATTCTTGGATCCCCTGCCCACCAAAAAGACAAAAAGAACACATCCCAAATCACGCTGGCGTCGGATGCGTCTCACCCTTGGGTCCGTCTCACCCTTCTTCTCCCTCCTTTTTCTGGAAAAAACGTTCACGGCCGGTCACGGCACGGGCTACGAGCACCTGATGGTGACCGCTCCATAGGTCACCTCCACGGGCTACGAGCTCACCCCAGTGGCCATCGCGGCCGGGCGGCGCTTGGCGGATCGGCTCTTCCTCAAGGAGGGCACCTTGGCGGAGCGTTAAGCGTCGTGCGGTCCGGTTCGTTTCGGCGGCGATGCTTCCGGCAGATGAACATGGAAACTCATAGTATGGGACCCTCCATCATCACTGGGTTCGAGCGGAACGAAAGTAGGCGGATCAGTTCTGCCATGGGGGTGATGGTTGACGCGCATAAGGCATAAGTCATTTGACAGAGAGAAAGAGAGAGAGAGAAAATAAACATAAAACACACAAAAAAACAAAGAAACAAACCAAGAGAGAAACGAAGAAGAAGAAAAAGATAGCAAAAGAAAGAAGTAGAAGGAGAAGAAGAAGAAAGAGAGCAAGAGAAAGAAGAAGAAGAGGAGGAGGAGGAGGAGGAAGAAGAAGAAGAAGAAAAAAGAGAACAAGAGACAGAAGAGAGAGGCTTAGATAAGAAAAGGGGAAAGAGAAAGAACTATCAGATGTAGTGAAGTTCTTAAGCAATGCTCACATGTGTTCATGAAGTCGGCACAGCGCTTTCGTTCAGAGTTTGCGATTGGGATTGGCCGGAAGGTCTACTGTATCTCAAAACAGAAAGGAGTTGAACAAAATAGTGAACATGCCTTTAGCTACGGTGAATATTAAAAAAAAAATATATATATATGATCTATATGATAGATGAACAACAGCCCAAAGGGTCCGGTCACAAATCTTTATGTAAGAGCAAGTGTTGCATAGAAATCATGAGGGAATCCAGTAAACCGATATAGTGAACATCCAAAAACAACCAGAAACAATACCCTCATTTCATTCAATGTCCTTTACGTTATTTTTTGGCTTTGCAATTTCCGCTTTGTATATATATATACACATAATAACACGATACCAAAGCAATACCATGCACTTTTTGCCACAGACGAAGACCTCTAGAAAATTGCTGGGAGGCAGTAGGGCTACCGTGTGAATGGATTTTGTGTTTTGCTCTTTTTACTTCACCTCTACCCATATCCATGTGTGAAATTGAAACAGGCACCAAAAACACTGTAAAGCGATATAGCGAAAAACACAAACATAATACCAACATATGCAGTTTTTTGGCACATAGCTTTTGACGTTCGCTCAGATATAACAATAGACAATACACATTAGAACAACCAATAACATATCTAGCATAGCTATAGCTATAGCTATAGCTCCACTCCGACCATCGGCTGCTCGCAACCCGAAGCCCCCGAAGCCTCGGCCGAGGCCGCGCTCGGATCGCCTACGAGCTCATTGCCACGGCAGCATGGCACGTTTGGCCGGTGTTCGACCCTCGTGGCCATGGGTGTTCGACCGACCCCAAGAAAGGGTGAAACTCGTGACATGAGGAACCACCCCCTGATGAGACGTCTGACTGATTCCTAACATGTCACGATGTTTCACCATGTTTCACCCTCCAAAACCTCCTCAAATCACCTGTGTCATATGCATTTCCTGGGCAAAGTCATAGATCCATGTCACCGTTCTTCGTGTTTTTCACCGGCAGGGACTGACACCGCGACCAGCGGCCTAGGTGGTCTTCAGCCACCCGCCCATCGGTTGCATCGGCCTGACGGAGCCACAGGCGAAGGCGGAGTTCGGCGAGGCACGGCGTCGACGAAGAAGGGCGGATCCAAACGGCAGTGTAATATTGGAGGGATCATTGGAGGAATGATTGTGATGTGTAACGTATTACTAAGAACATCTAAACACAATAAATATATACTATAAAAAGGAACAAACACATAGACATCGGTGGACTATTTTGTAGACGTGGACTTCAGGTTCACCGTTGGACCAAGTTGGGTCGGCGGAGCGGCTCCATAAGCTGGCGTTCCGGCGATGCTCCGACGCATCTCAGGCATCGCAAGGTCCAATCCCTTCGTATAGCCAAGAATATCCACTTGGACTGCAACGCAAACAAGTGTACGGTAAAACAACGGTATAAGGATGTATAAGGAAAGTGTGTGTGCGTGTGTGCGTGCCGGGCGTGCCGTTTTTTCTTTTACTTTTTTATATTGTTGTCCCAACCGGTCACTCACTCTGTGTCAAACATGTTGTTTTTTCAATTGTACCTTCAGTTTTCACCCTTTGTGGATTTGATCGGATCAGATTGGTTGGTAAACACCTCGGAGAGGACCAATTCATCGATGGGTCACATCCATCCGGGCTTCGCGGACGACTTCAGTGCTTCGGTAACGGACTGGGCTCCCCCAACGGAGCCCGAGACCACGAGGGTGTTGTGCGCCGTCCGAAGGGGTCTGACCGGGGTCTGACGGGGTCGGGATGGGTCGGGATGGGTGGAAAGGAGAACATCAAGGTGAAGCAGTCCCGCTTCGCGAGCATGCTGCACCTCGGTGTGTTTTTGGGGTGTTTTGGGGTGGTCGGAGAGAACCTTTCAGCATCACATGCGGCTATGTCACTATGTATCTTACCCTTCATGAAGGTGATAGTTGGGTGGCTGTTGGTCGATCTATGTCCATGCAAATTCCACAGATTTTTCAGCTTTGCCTCAGCTTATTTGCGATTCGTGATCGTCATGTTTGGATTCTCCTGCTTTTCACCTCCACATCCAAGAGATTCCAAGAGGGCCTTTCCAGCACTTGCCCATCAAAGCTCGAGCGATCCGCCAAGAGGCTGACCAAGTCATGACACGTGACATGTTCGAATCGCTGAACGGTGGTGTGCAGAATCTTGAGAATTGGGGGACCTTGTTTTGAAGTCCTTTATGTTCCTTTGTATTTATTACACTAAAATTGAATAGAACCATTGATTTGTCAACTACGGGACAAGTTTTTGCTGAGGTATGCCTTCAACGATGATGACAAAAAGGCCGGATCCTGGGAGCAGCAGAGGTGCAGCTGCAGCTGCAAAATAGAATCCACTTAAGACTCTACATATTGGCTGAGCCCCCTGGGTTTAAGCTTCTATGCTTTGCATAAAAAAATGATAGAAATGCACAATCGACGCGATGGATTGGCATGCCATGCCGATCATTTCCGTAAAGAGTGTACCACACTTAGCCAACTTTGAGCCGATGAAGCACGATGACCTTTTCGCCGTTGAAGCCAGGTGAAGACAGCGTTGAAGTTGGTGTTGAAGCTTCCAGAGGACGGTTTTCACGCTCCGCGTAACAAGTCGAGGTTTTCAGTCAAAGAAGGACATGGTTGTTCATGTATTGCTGTATCCTTTATTCTTGTAAGTAGATCCCCAAATAGATATATATATATATATTAAGTATATATATATAGAGAGATACCCCACCTAAAGTGTGTTGGACACCATTTCTATCTATTTTGGGGTAGTTATTGTTGTGAAACCTGGCTATGGTCAACCACGCATGAACCATCCACTCGGCCACTCGTGGCTTTGGGGATCCGATGGATCCAATGGATCCGATGAACCGTCTGATGGATCGCGAGGTGGCTTGTTCTTCAGTGTGGTTTAGCCCCCATAGATGGCCGTTCAGGCCCACTTTCAGGGTTCAACGTACGTCAGGATCTGTCAGGTGCGTAGCTTGTCATGTTTTCCCGACACCGGCCCGGTGAGCCGCCGCCCGTTTAGGGAGCGCCCAGCGCGATGGGTCCTGCGGGTGGGAGGAGCGGATCGTGGGGCTGCACTGCATCGGTCCTTCCTCGGAGACTTGGATTTCAGGACCATGGAAGCTTGAAACAAACATGTCCTTTTCGGATCCTAGGGACCAAGGAACGTGTTTTGTTCTCAGCACCACAGGTGGTGTAGCACGGAGAGTTTGGATTCCCCCGGTCTCACCTTTTGGCCCGGAAGTGGCCGAGTTGGACGTGCAGGGTGAACGCCACCAGCATGTCCTGGTCCCGATGACACTGAGTACGGAATGGTCGAAAGTAAAGAACCACTGTAACTGGTACCGTGGTGACAGGATGGGTGAAATGACATGTCGCTGTCCGCCCGTGGACCGCCTTTCTTCTGCTCTCTTCACCGCGTTCCGTGGTGGGAACCCCTGCAGCTTCGCCTTCTACCGACCCATGAAAAGTGGGTACCTTACCTTACCGACATAGCCAGATATTCTTGGCACCTGGGGTTTGTCTTATATGCATTGACATCTTGAATTGATCGAATTTGTCCCCATGAGAAGTCTATGTCTATGTCATGTTTCCAGAATTGTCTCAAGCAAGAGGTCTTTCCAACATCCTGGTAAAGGAAGATAACAGTCAAGAAACCACTGGATATTGCACAGATCCGATCCCTCTTCTTTGTCACCGCCGCTGAATAAGGCAGGTTCAATCAACAAGAATGGGGAAACCACTGCCCCGACTGGATGCCACTCGTCATGTCGGCCGGCCGCGTCGGACCTTCGGTGGTTCGCCGTCGCCTCCTCCTCCGACCCTCAGGATGAGATGATGCAAGGCTTCGCGGTGGCCGTGCGGATGGGCGCCACCCGCGCAGACTTCGAGGCCACCTGGAACCGGACAGTCGGACTGAAGTGGGTTGGGTGTTGGCCCACTTGAAACACTGCTTCCTTTGGTTTGTTTTTGTGATCTTTTTTGTTCCACGGGGTTTCCCGGAGTGACACAGGGGCCGGCTCTTGGAGCTTGGACCAGAGATGGTTCCTATCTCAACATCGCGTGAGTATAGTGGTCCCCGAATAATGGTGTCTAATTCCCCAAACAGGTTTACCTGTGAGGGGTTCTTACTCCTTTGAAAGGGGTCCATGACCGGGCCCCATGATTTTACATTTGTCTCCGGGCTTGCGTTCCTGGTTGCTGTGTCTCCCACTGTCTCCACTCGCTTGTGGGTGCTTTGGCCGCATGATTTTACGTCTCCCATTTGTCTCCCACTTGTGCCCCACTGTCTCCAGTCTCCTGTGGGTGCTTTGGCCGCATGATTTTTACACTTGTCTCTCTTTTGTTTCACACTTTTTTTCACTCGCTTGTGGTGCTTTGGCCGCATGATTTTACACTTGTCTCCCATTTGTCTCCCACTTGTGCCCCACTGTCTCCAGTTCGCTGTGGGTGCTTTGGCCACATGATTTTACACTTGTCTCCTACTTGTTTCCCATTGTCTCCAGTCTCATGTAGGTGCTTTGGCCGCATGATTTTACACTTGCCTCCCACTTGTCTCCCACTGTCTCCAGTCCTTTGTGGGTGTTGTGGCCGCATGATTGTCTGGACTTGGACCTGGACCAAACAAACTGTTTGGGGTCAACGCTGGTATAATTCATTTTTTAGTGGGGATCTACTTTTTATTAAAATTATACAGTATCTATTTAGGGGGTTTGTTTAGGTGCTCCTTACTGGTAGGGGTTCAATCTTGGTCCTAGACCCCGTTTGGAATCCTGACCTGGACCCCCATTCCAGTCCTGACGGTCTTGGCGATGGTGTCATCAGTTATGGGCCACGTATTTTAGTCAGCTCGCAGAGTCACACTCCAGGTGTTCGTTTCGGGCAAAATAGACCCCAGAGACGGTCCTTATCGATGATGCAAAGAACTCTTTGCATTTCTTTTTCGGATACTCTCCAATGGAGGTGACGTCAAGATACTCTCCAATGGATTGAATGGATTGTGGGTTTTCAGACTGACTCTCGCCACTTGTCACCCTGCATTTGACTGGCGAAAAAAGACCTCACCACCCATGGGATAACTCGTGCATCGGTCCAACTTGACCATGGCTGCCTCGGATGGGATGACCATGCACCGCTATGCGCCGATGGAGGCCTCTGTGGCGATCCACCCGACCATCGCGGAGGAGTTCGTGACCTTCGGGGGCTGGGGTCAGCAGCAACAGGGTGACAAGGTGAGGATAGCTGAGATGAGTTGGACAAGGAAGGGAGAGAAGGAAGGATGCATGAATTCAGTGAATGTCGGAATCTTCGCATGGGAAAGGCGGGAAAATATGGAAAAATTAATTGATCGGTGGGTGAGGAGAATGTGAGGAGAAGGGAGAAAAAGGAATGATTCTCGGATCAGCATTAATTACATGGGACATCGATCATCAATCTGTTGGGCACGGACAGGGAGAGACACCGATCTGGCGACCTGGAAAGCCTGTGTTGGACGTTTGGGAGAGACGGATGCGATTCTGAGATGCCCAAAAAAACGGGTTGGCGTAAGTTACGGTAGCGTAGCGTAAGACTTGGAGCTGGGACTAGCTCAGAGTGATGTGATTATCGGCAGAGATGTCTCTAGCGGTGCAAGTCAAGCCCCCGCAACGCTTCGGTCACAGGTCAGCGCTTTGTTGCCTCCATATCTCAGTTGATGCCACTTGACTGCAGAGGACAAGTGAGGTCGACTGAGAACATGGCCCAAAGATATCAATATCTTTGGGATTCCGCTGGAGCCGTGCTGTTGGTGTAAACACTGCTGCAAAAATGGCAAACTCATGCGTTGAGTGGCCCAACACATTTCCAGGAGGCTCCCTGCTCTTGGCTTGACCTGGTGTAGACTGTAAACTGCCTTGAAGAAACCCAGATGGTGTGGAAGGGGAAGCGGATGAACATGGCACAACAGGTCAATGTTCCATAGTTCCATGTCATAAAAGTCTTTTTTGGGGGGGAACGGATCAAGTCCAGCATCAGAAAGGGGACATGGCCTGGCTTCTTAGAGGAAGATCACCTGCCGCCCCAAACTGTAGTTTGTACGTATTGATCCCAAGCCATGGACCCATGAGTCCATGAGTCATCAGACCCCCTCCTCAAGCAGCACTTGTCCGTATCTTGGAAGCGAATTGCTGGGGATTGATGAACACATATGAACACCCAAACGCTCGGTCTTCCGTGGTCAACTTAGGGGGTGAAACGCGCTGGACCTGAATGTGAGCAGGGATTTGGTGCAGCACAATCACTACTACTGTAGATTCGGCATACGTTTTAATAAATACTGCAAGTCAGTGATGTTAGACATTTTCCTGTGACATATCTTAAGACACATGCGGCATGCATGTGTTACTATCTCTGCACGGACTGTCGCTTGTGTTGTCGTAAGCCGTTGTTGAGTGCGCCCAGTCATTGCCGAACTCTGCACATCTGGGTGACGCATCGGCTCGGGGTCCCTCGAGGATTTAGACTCGATTTGACCCGATGTTGCATCAAAGTAGCCACTCAAAGGCTAAACTCTGAGATTGGTGCTGAATTGGGAGATTCAATCAGCTGGCCAATTGGTATTGATATTGTGTTCAATTGGGAGATTCAATCAGCTGGCTGATCCATCATGATCCAACTTCAAATCGACCGACCTTGACCGGTTTGTTTTAGCTCCAGGCAGTGCGGCAGAGCCTGGATCAGTTGGATCTATTGGTGGCACTGATGAGCCGAGGGTTTGCGACCTGCTTGCTGAAGCCGACCCATGGGTGGAAGCGGCATGTTTCATTCACCACTCTCCAAATCCAGGGGATATATTATGAGGATATATATATATATTATGGGTAATTACATGTAATTACTCTACTTACTTTTTCGTGCTAGAGGACGGCAGAGTACTCGTACTAGGTGGGTGGTGATTTGCTGCATTTGGTTTTGCTGGATGTTGCCCTGGGCAAATATCGTCAGCTTGCTTTCAGCTCGGTGTCACGCGGCCACAAGTGCTGTCGTTTGATTCTGTTGATTGGTGTGAAGAAATTGCTTGACCAACCATCACCCACATGACAAAGGGCATCATTCCTTTGTAGCAAGGCACACGATTGGGCTGGAAGGTCCCTCTGCTTTGATTTCCCCCTTTTGAAAAACATGTACTTTAAGAGGGATCCCTGTTGTTCATGGGTGCGTCGGGAGAAGGACATATATATATATATAACAGAACCACCTGGGTGTGTCCCGCACGAGACGAGAAACTGCTGGACACCGCCTGTCAGCTGGGAGGAACAGAAACCGCTGTCACTGCCCAACGACCGCACGATCGCCATTTGTGCCTTTGGCTTTGGCTGATTTGGCTCCAGACCGCCATGGCAGATTGGCCCAGGACGCCCAGGACCGGTCGAGGCAGGTAGGCCAGCCCCACTGGATCTGCATGGATGAGGAAGGATGACACTTCCTGGAAACCAGGCTACCAGTTGTCTTGTACAAGTATTTGATGTGTGAGAAGTGGCTAGTTAGTTTTCAGGATCCCTTCGGGAAGGTTTTGAATCTGCTCGCAAAACAATGACGATCGACATTCTCATCGCCAATCCACTGGGTGCACGAGGTCAGTCGTAATCTACTAGCTAATATATAATACTAGCCACTAGTCCTTATCAGGTACTGCATGGATGGTATTGGCTACCCAGAATAGGGTCCAAACTTTGCATAGAATTTGCGGCAGTCAGTGTATTTATATCCCATGACCAATAGGTTTGGTGGATGATGGTTCAGTTCAGTTCCCTTCTCAAAAAGCAGTGATCATTGGTTGCCAACGGGTACAGGTTTACTTTGCTACACCCTAGATATGGATTCAGATCCCATCATGGATCTACGAATTTCGATCGCTTCGCCAGGCCCCCGACCCCAGCACACCGGTGACCGTCACCGCCTCCAGGACCGCCCGCTACTTGCGGCCCGTGGCCACGTGTGGCCGCGGGGGCCGTGCAGCGTCCGCGCCGGGCGGTGCGCGGGCGGTGACCTTGCGACTGAGCTCGGAGGGAAGCGCAGGGATCAGTTGGAACCATCCAAGCAGTCATAGTCATAATGGTCAATATATTAATCTATAGTAATACATCCCTCTTGCCTGTAATGTCCTGTAATTACAATAATTTGTGCTGCAGGATTTTCTTCCATTAACATTTGTTCCTGGTGTTGGTTCCTGATAGCCACTTGATGTGGGATCAAAGTAAAGATACCTCAGAAAACGGCACCCACATGTTGACCTTTTTCATTTCACTGGCGACCTGGTGGGTTTTGTGGAGAACCGGGACCAAGGCAAAGCCATAGATTCGGTCAGCAGTTCCCACAAATGGGTGTGCACTGAAGCAAGAGAACCCCCCAACCTTCCGGGAATAGCATGTTTTTTCCACTTATATATACTTATAATCTTATATAAACTCATTATAAACAGTTATAAATTATAAACCCCTTTGGTTGGAAGGATGCACTCCCTCGCGACTCGGGGCCACCCGGAGGTCGCCGGGGGACGGGACCGACTTCAGGACCTCGACCGACTTCAGGTGTCCAAAGAGCAGTTGTGGCGGTGAACACGTTTTGTTTTTTCCCGGTTTGCTCGATGGTTTCGGTTGACATCCCTTTTTTGATGAATGTCATTGACTTAATGTAGGTTGATAAACCTGGTTGACATCCCTAATGTTTACGGTTGACATCCCTCATGTAGGAGTCTTGAATGAATAAACCCTTTTTTGATGTTCAGAACCCCTTCCATAATGGGGCATATATGAATCAAGAGTCTGAGTCGGGTGGCGGATTCCACTGCTTGGCCTAGCTGCGGCATGTTTCACCCAGAGAATTCTCGACCGCTGCGAGGCCCCAAGCAACGGAGCGCGGCTCCAAGCGGCGCGACGACCTATCCGGGAGCATACGGATGGAGGTGGACTGTGCGGGTCAGTGGTGGACGGGGCAATTGATCATGATTGATTGGGTGGTGTCCGAGAGTTTGGATGTTCAACCGTGAACACAAGGCATGAACCCACTGACCGATATTGGTTCAAGTGAGTTGAAACAACCAACTATAGATCTTGGTTGATGGTCGTTAGTTGATAAACTGATTGATGTGATTTTTTGATATTTATACCATGTATATATACCTGGACCATCCAATGGGTGTCGAATGCACTACCCTGCTGTACTTAGGCATCTCAAGAAAATCTCCATTGGACACCCATTGGATGTCCTGGTATATGGTTGATCAATTGGTTGTTGTTCCTGACCTGGACTGTTCGCTTGATCCAGCCAGTCGACTGGGGGCCAACGCATGCAACAAGGGTCTCACCTGACTGTGCTGACCTCGGTGCAGATCCACCCTGGTCCTCGGTCCCAGCGACCGACTAATGGGACCTGAAGTCGTCTGACTGCGGGACCGGAACGTCGTCCGAACCGGTGGTGGTTCGGAGGAGACGTGGTGGTGGCGGAATCGAAACAGACTTCTCAATCGGTCATGCGGCATGCTGATCCTGGGGTGGGGTGGCTGACACATCCACTTCCCACATCCATACAGGGCCACTGCAGGCATCGCTTGGGTGTGGGCCCTGTATCACCGTAACGCTTGGTATCCGGTAAAGGAGGAAATCTTACAAATTGTGGTGGCGCAGAAATTCTTTCAACATCAATGTTTGCTGGCTAGACTCCCGATGAATCTCAGATGACAACCCTTTGTTCATTGGCTTGGAAAGCTTATGCGCTCCACCAAACGATCAGATTCGACACACAGACAGACAGACACACACACATCAAAAACACACACTTAGACTTCACTTAGATGATAAAGCTCCACCGGTTGAGCATTCGATCAGTGAGTGACTCACGGGTGCATTCGCCATGCTGGCCTAGCCCTTGACTAGTTTGGTTCGGATTTTCGGTAGGTCGGCAGGTACAGCGCAAGGAGTGGACCGTGCGTCCACATCCCCGGAAGCGGCGGAATCCCATTAGCTTCGTTGGCGCTAGGGAAACAGCTGCGCCCCCTGCATTAGAGCTGTACGTAGGACCCCTTTGAAACGCACGCACACACTTTCCTCAGGCTTCTCAGACCTTGCTCAGACCTGTCCCACTTGAATCAGGTGCCGGCGTTGCCGCTGCGAGAGGGAAAGAATCTGCAGAATTGGCAGGGGGAGCTTTGGAGACGCTCTCTCAGGAGGCCAGGACTTCCACTGAAGGACCGGACCGCTGGGCGACGTGGCGTTTTTGGTCGTGTCGCGCAGTGACCACTGGCGGAGGGGTATACCGGTGCCGCACAGCAAGATCAAGAGTCTTCAAAGAGCAGTCATTTGAATTGGTTCCTGACAACAAGTCTGCCAGGGCAAAATTAAATGCGGACCCAACATATGTAGAATACTCCCCCCTGTTTGGGTACTCCTTTCAGTTGCCCCTGTTTGGGGACGCATTGAACAGCAGGCCGAAAAAGCGTCGGCGTCGCCCCCGCTGGACCAGCGTTCCTCCGAACCGATCAGATCGGGAAGGACCCCATCTTTGCTGAGACCAGCATTGGGGCCAAAGAACTCCACGAGGACTCCGTGTGTTTCGATCACGATGACATCTCCTGGGATCTTGTGGCTGTTTGGATGTTTCTTGGGTAAATTACTTATTAAGGAACAAGACACAGGTCCAGAATCACGCAGAAGATGCAATGAGCAGATCGAGTTATTATGTGATGTTATGGCTCAGATTTGGAATTCTTGATGTCATGACTCCTTCTCAAGAACTTCCAACCCTTTGGAAGTCTCGTGGAATATCCTCACAATTCATGTTTGTGAGAGATTGAAACAATATATATATATATGGTTTTCTCACATTTTTGTTCCCTCCTTTTGAACATGTTGGGTGATCCCTTCGAGGAGTGGAGCGACCTCTCGCCCGCGCAGCCGCGGCAGTGGCCCTTCAGCGGCGCCACCGCCAGTGGCGCAGCGGCGCGGGCATCGCCGCGGGACCCACATCGGTGGGTGGAGCGGCCGGTGCGGAGTGCCCAGTGGGTGCATCGCATGGTAGGAATGGTGGTAAGATGGTGGACAGTGAAGTGGTGGAAACTCTGGAGGGAAGATATGCAAGAGCATCAGGGAGGTGGGAACATGTGGTGCGGATTTCCCCATGCCAGTGAGGAATCAGACATGTGAAGATTGAAGATAGTACTGTATAAGGATAGTTATAAGGATGTAGAAGGTGATTGTCTACCCAGAGGTCTCCTGTCCTCAGTCCTTAGCTGTTCGTGAGTGTAGGCTGCCTGCCTGTGCTTCTTTGGCTATCAATTGTTCTGTTTGTACACTACACGGCCCTTTGCCCCAGTAGAATGACAGGTAGATCGATGTAGATCGTTCTCTTCGTACACGCAAAGCGTGTGCAAAGTTGTGCCCGTCAATGGTAGAGTTTGGTGATTCCTTGATGGTAACTAGTTATACATAGTTGGCATAACCGTGATCATGATCATATCAAGAGGATCGTTTGTGTAGTCAACCCACAAATGTCCGCTTGGTGAATTCGATAGCGCCAGGTGGCCTGTGGGAAATACTCCTTGCAACATTTCAGTGGCAATCGCTATGCGTGGGACACGCGACCACGGCATTGCTTGATTGGACTTCGAGATCCTGGTGATTAGACTCTGAGACCAGAGACTTCTTGCATTTTCTTGCATCAAACAGCTGCTTGTCGTACAAGGTACGCGAAGCGGGCATGTTAGACAGCTCCTTCCCTTGCTGCGCAGATGATGAAGGCCTCACAATCCCATGCCAACCATTGGCCAGCCATTTCTTTTTGTGGTTGTTTCTACAATGGTCACTTCTCACTCAAAGAGCTTTGAATGCGCAGACGAACAGAACAGTGGATCATCCAGAAATAGATCTATAGACATAGACAAACCAAAAAGACTTTCTGCCTGTCCCTAGTGAGTTGCTCACTCCCCTGTTTGCTGTGCAACTAGAACCACTGACCACTGACAGAGCTTGACCAATTCGATGCCTTTTTCCCTAGCATTCCCACTATGATCCAATGTGGCTATAGTAAATATATATATATAGTACGTAGTTATGGTCATAAGCTCATACATATACTCATACACTGGCCACATTCAACGGGCCTCATGAACAGCTGGAGGTCCTCAATGTAAGCTTACTTTGTTTGGTGACCGACGACGAAGCGATTGGCCATTCTTGGGGATTCACCTAAGTTGTCCGCCTCTGAGTGGGTTTTAAAGCCTAGAACCCAAAGCTGCGAACCGAAACTCATGGGTTTCGTTGGTCTCACTCAGGTCCAAACCGTTCCCTACCGTTCCCTTGCACCAAACCATTCGGGTGCGGGACGAGGTCGTTCGGCGTCCCAACAAACACCCGATATGAAGAGTCGTTCGATGTCGTTCGGGTCCGGCTCTTCCCTTCAAAAGGGTCTGTACAGCGTTGCAGATCCCACGCGTTCGTTTTTGGGAGGTGCCCAGTTGCAATCCAAAGTAGATGCTTTCAGCGGCACCAGCTATGGATGTTGGGGCCCAAATGAAGACCAACGACCAACAACCAACCAAGGAGCAGAGCCACATCTTCGGCACCTCTGAATGAGGCGGGGATGTGGCTGAACTTAGATTTTAGAGTCTGGATGGCCAGACACAAAGCTTCACTCTCAGCATCATGGAGTGGTCAGAGTGTGCATGGCGACGTGACGTTGGGATGTGAATGGGTACTGTGTCCTTATGGTCTCCTCCGGTCTAGGTCATAATACACCTGTTTCACATGAGGACTGGAACCTCTCGTGGGCCACTCTAGGGCATTGAAGTTGAAGATTTAATATAGACCGTACGCCGCTGGGGCATGCTCCACTTGACATGCTTCTCCTTCTCCATGTTAGCTGCTGGGAGCTTGATTGGTGTGGGTCAAGAATCGCAAGAATGCTAGGACCGCTAGGGTCCACTGAAATGGGAAGATGGACCGATATTGTGCAAATCCTTGGATCAGGCCTCGATTTTTGCTCCACACCCAGGTTTTCCAGCTGAACCAAACTTGTTCAAGCTGAGTAGAGAACCCAGTGAGCCGTGGAGGGCGCTGGGGTCTTACTGCTTTTGCCACAGGGTTTACCTGTTTTGCTGGAGGCTGGCGTGAATCCAGGCGTTTTGACTTGGAGAGCAACTGGAGAGCAGAGTCCTTGACAGTCTTCAATCTGCCCTCTTGGGAATCAACGAGCTGAAGGAAGTGTCCCACCACATTCGAAAGCATCTCATGAAACGCTGGAAGCCCCAAGCCGACCAGCTCCTAGTCCCTTCGGGTAGTTTTGCCAGCAACGAACATTCGTGCAATTGATCGCTTGCAACGGGTGTCGGGAGGAAGGGCACCAGATGTTGCAGTTTTGGCATGTGCTGCCTACAATAAGATCCTGGAACGATGTGTCAATACATGCTGGAGCTATAACTATATCATCTACAAACCGTCATCTGTACAGTCTCCGTTCGTTGGAGTGTTGGAGATTTGATTATATAGACATATATAGACTGTTATATAGACTTGATATCACCTCTAGGTCAACCCAGCGTTTCTGTGAATTGTGCCTGTTGAGAAAACAACACAAATTACTGATAGATAGACTGAGAGGTGCCTGACAGTCTTCCACCACGCTGGTAGTGTAGTCCACCAAGCCCCAATCCACAAGGGCATCAGCAGCCTAAAAGGCCGGCAACCGAGTGAACACTTGTGCGGAAGTAACATGATACGATTGACCTTTTCCGGAAAAACAATAATTTGAAACTGGGAAGATGATGTTTCTAAGAACATTTGGGACATGTGTTGGATTCCTGTTGGATGTCTCAAATGGAGACTAATCCAAGTCCCTAGTCCAAGTACTACATTTCACACCTCGAACGCATGTCGCCGGCGTGTCATCCATTGGCTGGGATGTCTCTTTCGGTCACGAGGTCCTTCGAGCCGAACGTGTGATTTTTTGGGCTCAAGCGTGTCATCCAAGGGTATGAGAATATATCAGATACCTTACGGCAATTCTTTGATATTCTTGGTGCTGTGGCTTATGGATTGGATATTATATATATTATATCCTTTGGAAAGCAGGACAGCAATCCTTTTGGGCCCAAAACGGAAGTTCCGAACGACCGAACGACCTTCTAGAGGGCCCCTTCAACGATGCCGATTCTGCCTGCGGATGTCCATTCCTTGGGGCCCCCTGAAAAAGCGGTCAACACGATGACGGTTGTTTGGTGATGTTCGGCCACGCTGACGACGTGGAATCAGCAAAAGAGCGAAAGTGGATGTGTCCCTGATGCATTTCCAGAAATCGAGCCTACAGATGGCATGTCGCCCGCCCTTCAGCCATATGCTGCTTCTATGGCTAAGCCTTTGTCAACCTTTTTCAGCACATGAGAGCTTTCAGCTGCATGCTCCAACCTTGTTTCTTGGATGAAGCAGGGCAGACATGCTTGGTTTGTTTTGGTGCGAAAGGAAAACCTCTTTGATCACCGGTGAGGACCACCTGGCCGTGATCGCTGGGGGATCTCTTGGGTCAGGGCCTGTTGAAGTAAGTGCCAAGTCGAGTCGTGGACTGCGGTGGGTATGTTTCTGGGAGTTCCAAGCTTATAAAATGTCCAAACACGGATCAAAACGCTGGTGTATTTTGGAGTGATGCTGAACATTTGGTCTCGTTCACGCAACAAGGGATCTATTCATATCTCATCCTGGAGACAAGTTGTTGGATGAGTCAAAACCTCAAGCATTGTCAGGTTGCATTCCAAGTTCAGGGCCACCAATCCTGGTCGAATTGGCTCAGAATCTAATGGAGGGTACTCCAAAAGAGACTGGCCAGAAGGACATTGATTGGATGGTGAAGAGGAGTTCTCTTTGGGCATCAGAAAAAACCGTGTTGGGCAGGCAGCCAGATCGATGTTTCAAAGCATGCGCGGAGCCGACCAAACAGTGGAGATCACCACATATGGGGTCGTGGCCAAGAAAGGAGACATGGCCCTATAATCCCTATAGTCCATCAAAACGAGAATCTCTATATTATTCTCTAATATTTCATTATGATGCATGAATAGCTCTGAATAACCGTCAATCATTCATCATCGATCCAACCTCGATCTCTTCCGGACTCCTCAGGAACTTCCGCCACAAACCGCATAGAAGCACCCATCATCAACCCATGGTCTCCCATTTGGAGACCATCACTAGTAGTACTAGTAGGTTCCTTTTGGCTATTGGGTTCATGCTAGTAGCGTCCTTGCTCCTAGTACGTAGCGATGCCAGGAGCCCCCAGTAGCTCCTTGCTGATTCTGTTTCTCCGGATCTCCTCAGGTCCACATCGCAGCGTCTCGCGGCGCCGCGCCTCGCAGTCTCGCGGCAACGGATGTGGCCGCGCTTCGTGCAGAAGACCCTGGAGGTGGCCGAGCGACCCGCGAACAGGAGAGGGCGAGTTTCGATGAAGTGGGGAGTGGGGGGAGTGGGGGGGAAGATGCTGGAAGCAATTGATGTTAATTACCATGTGTTTTTTTTGCGATTTGGAAAGCGTTAATCTGAGTCAATTAGCCTCCGGTTGATGGATATTGATGGATATTGGTGAGGGCTCAAAGGTTTAAACTTGAAGCAATATCTCTTTACACAGATGGCTTTCTTTGCTGGATTCTCACAGGACCTTCAGCATCCAGCCGCACAATGCGACCGCCTTCAGCCTTTTTCCCAGCCCAATGGGTCCAGGGCACTTGGAGTGGCAAGCCCTCCTTCGGAGTAGCCTGGAGTAGCAGCAGCAGAGTTCTTGCCTATTCGGGATGTGATGTGACTATCGTAGCATATAACAACCCATGTGAGAGAAGGCATCATTGAACACATTGAAGAATCCAAAGCATCATCATTTCTGGGATTTGTTATGCAATTATTTACTCAATTTTACTCATATGTCAATGTCCTCTATTTACTCCTATAGGAAGAGAAGGCATCATTGCAGCCACGACAGTCCGATCTTCAGAGTCCCCACCGTACTTCCCTTCCACCATCGCCCAGGTGAGTCTCCACCATCGCCCTTCTACTTGCCGATGAGCCACAAAAACCAGTGTCAGACCAAGGTCTCCGGCTCCGCCACTCGGTTGGACTCCGTCGACCGGTTAGGCAGACCGACGTGTGACGGAGTCTCCACCTGCGGTTCTCCACCAGGTTGGATCTACAGGTTCTCATAGGATGTTTACTGTAGAGAACCTATGAGACCAGTTGTTTCGTAGGTTTGTGTTTTTTCGGTCATTTGTTTCTATTTACTGTAGACCAGTGTTTGATCCAAAACATGTCAGACACGTCTCTCGTGGCTTGTGGTGTGGGTGGGTATATCCCAGCTGCCGTTGTTTTTCGCTTGCTGGCTCCTGTTTTGTGTGTACCCTTCTCTTTTCAGATGAGAGATACTCCCGCAAAATAGATCAAAACCTCAAATTGGCTGGTGGTTCCGTTAAACAACATACACCATCGCCATGTTCAAGACGTCCCTGGCCACTTAGGTCTTTGTGTATCGAGGATTCACGCCCGAGAAGTTCCAGTATGGCCACTTGCTGGGTGACCTGGAAGTGACAACCGTCGTTCGGAAAAAAAAACACCGTCCGAAGGCAAACCGTCGAAGACTGTGCGGTACTTGTCGCTTTGCGGCTGTGCAGTGTTTGCTAATGTTTTTCAATGCTTGTGGGGGCGGGAAAACCCACTGGAGCCTTTTCTGGATTTTTCTAAAGAAGGTTCTGGATCTTGGCAGATGCGTCGCTTGGAGAAGATTGCAGATATATTATTGATTGGAACAACAAGTGTAAACGATCAGACAATATCAGATATTGTTATTCCATCCAGTATTGAGTAATGTAGCGGCAGGTTTCCATGAACCGTGTATCATGCATGCATGTTCTGGAGCCCGATCAAGGCGCGAATCAAAGTCCTTTTCAGAAAGGCATGAATTGCCGATCAGTTCCTTAAGTGAAGACCCACATCTTCAGCTGCCAAGCTATACTTTATACTGTACAGTACTTTATACATCTTTATACACAGCAATCATTCCTCTTTTGCAGGACCTTCAGGTGGATCTACATGGGTCTTCGGTCTTCTCTCTTTAAAAGTGAGACCTTGAAACACACCATCCGCTAGCCTAGCTGTGGCCTAAATACGACCATCTTGTAGGTGTGTTTTTAACAGGACCTACGAACCAATGGATTTAGTCTGCTTTTGATCCCAGAGGTCTTTTGGGGGTCTCCCCCATTCTAATGCACCCCCTTGTAGTCAGACCCAACGCAGATTTGGACCTTGGTCCCTTTACCAGTGCCCTGCGGCACTGGACAAGAAGTCGCGTCTCAGGAGACGTGTTGCCGATGGTCGCCTGGATCTTCCACCAGTACCCCAACATCACCATCGCCGTGCAAAGCGAAACGACGTACCTCGTCTAAAAGACGACTTGGATATCCTCGGATTGACCACGGAACAGCAGGGGGTGCGCTGGGGTTTCTTTGGGAACGGAAAGGCACGTTGGATGTCGGGTTGCAAGATCCGGATCACCTTTTTGGTGCTTGTTGAAGACTGCAGACTCCAATGATTCCAGCCTCTTACGCGATCTTCGTGGTCAAGTACTCATCACATCAGGGCTGCATGGATGTACTTCTGCCAAGTTCATGAACCTCTCACTTTCTTCCGAAGTGTGCAGAGCAACGTCGGGGGCACCCACGGCCACATCGGGTATCAACGAGCTTCCCTTTTTCATGCGAGCGTTGGAAACACATCGATCAGATCGATGCGAGGCGAGCGGTTGGGCATGGTTCAAGAGACATGAGACAGATCGATGAGTCCACAAAGACATGTTGCGACCTTCGAAGAATCCCAACACAGGCAGAGATTGTGATCATTTTGCAAATAGTTGTTTGGTGACAGAATTTTTAAAGCTCTCCCGACCAGATGAAGTTCCTCTCTCGGAGTCATCAGAGTGTCTACAATGCTCAGGAATTCTTTGGTGAAGCAATTCATGGAGTGGCTACTCAGCTTATTCAGCTTCTGGCAGCACTTTGAGGCAGTATTTTTGGAATTTCCTCGACTCTTAACATGCATGTGTCTATGTGGTCGACCGTGCTCGCGGCTATGCAGGTCGGGCTTACGGCTCGGACGAGTGGTGGAGAAGGGGGATGTTCCTCCAACAAACCACCGCGGTCGACTGGGATGTTCCCCTCAGTTATCCCAGACTGATCAAGCCACAACTGGGTCCTCTACCAAGGGAGTCCCTGACAGTTTAATTCTTTGGCAATGTTTTCCGACCACCCTCCCCAGAGCTTGCTGCAGGACGTTGAAGATGCTTGACCAAACAAACTTGGCGTTAGAGCTTCTCAAAAAGGGTCTTTCGGATTTGCAACAAGTATCAACAAGTAGTTTGCAGGCCACCAACACCAACACTAGCAATATCAAGTGATTACCACTGGTTGTTTCCTGCGGTAAAACACTTGCAGTCCCTAACACTGCTGGCGACCAAATCGCCGAAGGGGTGGCACTTGGGAAAGTGTTCAAGCCAAACTGAGGGTAGGCCCTGAAACAGGTCCAGTGGACTACGAACCAGTCACCAAATGTCACCAATACTTCAAAGGTGGCGAATTTACCAAACTCAGAAGTGGATCCTCCAACCTAATAGCGATGGCCTCCACCTATAGTAGCTTCTTGCTCCTAGTAGCGATGCCAGGAGCCCCTAGTAGCTTCTTGCTACTAGGTTCATTCATGTTCATTCTATTTCTATCTTCAGCCACCCATCTTCTTTTTTCTACGTCCAGAGGTTTGATGCCGACGGCCTGGTGAAGCGCTTGCTCTTCGTTCCAGTGGACCATGTGGTTTGTGCTGATCAGCTACTTCTACTGGAGCCAGGCCGTCCGAGTCCGCAGTACGAACATCCGAACACGTGGAGGTCTTCCGGACGTCCGCAGTACGAATGTCCGGAGCACGGGAGTTTCGGCGGTTTCAGCGGTCATGTGGATGTTTGTTTATCAGACTGGAGAACGACAGAGGGTTGAGGACCGAGAGAGTTCCTTTGGGGTATCTTAGAGTCTCAGAATCTGTGCAACACGACCGGGAGTGTTGCCTACACTGTCGGCTACACAACGACCGAGACTCTGGAGACCACCGACCTCTCCCACCTGGATTCCACAAGGTCTCAGAGCTCTGATCGAACAAGGTGTAAGAATACCGGGAGGCTCCCCATGGCAGGGGTCGGACCCAACACCTTCGCAGGGGTCCAGCCCCTCAAAGCCTTATGTGTTGGTTCGGGCCCGGATTCTTAAGGTTGACAATGTTGGACAAATTACTATTTTATTCATTCCAGGATATCAAGTTGACATGATTTTATTACATGATAGTATATACGATATATGACCAGTTCTACACAGATCTTCATGCTTCCATACGATTGTTCTCATGACGCCCAGGCCCCGGCATCACGCGGCCCGAAGACCTCCGCATCGCCGAAGCTGGGCAATCAACGGGTGGTGCAAAAACCGTGTGAACGCCCCCAAAACATCCCAAAAGCCTCGCCCCCAAACCACAGAGGAACAGCTGTCTTTAATCAACAGTTTGTTTTTTTTTTCTCAATTCACATGTGTCTTCAACCGAAAAGAAAGCAGCTGCGGGTTGCCAACTATACAGTTACATCACATCACATCACATCGCATCCATCATCGTCATCAGCACCATCATCATCATCATCATCATCAGCAGCAGCAGCATCATCATCATCATCAGCAGCAGCATCATCATCATCATCATCATCATGATGTGCTTGACTCAATCCAAATCTGGGCAGTATGTTTTGCAGCAACAAAATACAAGCCCTCTCAAGGCACCCTTTGAAAGATGCGATACTAACTAGACCATACTAGGCCATACTAGACTATAGTATACTACATAGTATGTTCTTTTAAATGGCTAATGAGTGTTTGGGTCTTTTTGGATGGTTGTAAGATGCAAGTTGCCAAGTGCGTTGCTGGAGGGAATCTCATGCTGAGTCATGCTATCACATTCGGCCAGAAGGAGATCTCAAGCACATCAGCTCAAGATCTATTCCTCAGTTGCCACTGGAAACAAAGAGCGGTCCTTTTGGACATTCATATGAACAGTGCTGGACAGAGTCGGACAGAGACCAAGGCCCTTGGAGGCAAAGCCATGAGCCCAGGCCAGGACATCAAAAGGTTACCCATAAAGGCTAGCAGTACGCAACAGCTGGATGGAAAAGGCCCATTCCCTAGCAAACGCTCAGCAGGGTTTGGGTTGATGTTCCAAAACATCCAATAGTCCGTTCTATATTATAGTCCTGTAATGTCCTGTTTGTTTATTCATTGATATTTGCATGGTGCTTCTTGGACCCGGCCTTGCCCGGCCTTCCACCCCCCAGAGCGTGCGACCACGCACGGCCAGCAAGGAACTCACCATGTTTTTGCACCGCTTCGCCTTCCAGCTTCACTCACAGCTGTCACCCGCCTCGGCACCGGTGGCACCGGTGGCCGTGTACTACCAACGCGGAGATGACACGATGCATACCCGCCTCCTGGTGGCTCAGCAGTCGGATGCACTGATCCAGCTTGCACAGCAGCGGCTGCAGGAGCAAAGGAGAGCGGTCGGGAGGGGCGGGTTTCTGCAGGAGTTCGGCCATGGAACACAGGCATACCAGGTATACGTGATGATACGTGGGTGAGAAAGATGTATGTTTTGGTTCGAAGCGGTGGGGTGTAGATTGGAAACCCATCGGAGGCTTAGGCCCTTAGGCTTGGGGGGATCATGGAGAAGTTGCGAACTCATCTCATTTTGATTCATTTTGGTATGATCTCAGAGTCTATCAGAGTCTTCCACAATCGGAATTGATTTTTCATTCTATTTCTGCTAATTGCGATGTAACCCCACACTGGTAACTTTGCCACCGCCCAGTAGTAGAGCAAGATCATTTATTTCCAGCTTTTTGGGAGCAGTCGCGCTGGTTTCTCGGAGCATTTGGCCCCACATGTGTCATATTTGGGCAGATCTACGTCTCTCACCTCACCTCGGGGTCCAGCACGGATCTTCGAGGCGTTCCGAAGAAGTCGTGCTCTTCAATGGATCCTCAAGCGATGGAAGGGCCATGAGCTTCGAGGAACAGTACCGAGCCTTGGCAGCTGCGGGCGGGGGCAGGTTCAAGAGCGCATGGTGGGTTGTTGAAACCCTCGCATTCGGTTTCAATCACGCCCACCGACCCCTCTTGGTGGTTGCAGTATGTTGCAGTTCAATTGTGCGATCAGGATTTTCCTGGAAGCATGTTCACCTTCGGATCCAGGTGCACATCAATCCATATCACTCCCACTCGTCGCATTCCACAGCCATTTATAGCCATCCACAGCCATCCACCCCCACATTCAGCCCACATGACACAGGCCTCTTCAGTCGAGCCTCCCTGGCATTTGGTGTTCACGGCGCCGGCTTCGCCAACGTCTTGTGGATGAGCAGCGGAACGACGGCGATCGAGCTCATGTGCTCCATGGACACGGTGGAGGCGCCGGGCTTCGCCGCTTTCTCGTTTGGGAGTGGAACTATGAGCGGGTGAGCCGAGAGATGCCGGAAGTATTCCGAAGCATCGAATTGTATGTATATATAACTATATAAATATATTAGTATAGTCTTGGAGTCTTGGATATGTTTTGAGGTTCCATGATGTGAACCCTTCAAGGGCAATTCAAGGGCAAGTCACACATTCCGGCGATGTTTTTCCAGATATTCCAAGATCCGGAAGAGCCTCCAGCGTTTATTGGATGATGTTTGATGTTTCTTTTCTCCGAGGGGTTTGGCCGGGGGGTCTTTGTCTTACTGCTGTCCCCCTGAAAACCCACCCACAAGGCCAGCTTCCAAAGCTCGCGTGGCCGGCCTCGACGCGGAAAAACGCCATTTATGCCCCGACCCCGACCCCTGTCCCAGACTAATAGGGGTATAGGATGATATAGGATGTATAGGTGAATCTTTCACCCGAAGAGGATGTATGCCGGCATACCTGTTCCTTGAAGAGAATCACGCACAAAAATGAACCGCTTGGAGACAGAAGTGAAAGTGCCTCTTCTGCGCTGAGTTGCACCATTTCCATCAATGTTATTCAATGATATATGCAATGCTCATTTTTCATTCCCTTTCTTGTCCCCCTTTCTCCTCTTCATCCATCCTCACCCATCTTCCTGCCTTTCCTTGTCCAACGCCCGTCCCACCGCAGGTGCGGGGCTGCTTCGTGCGCGGCCCTGGCAGGCGGAAGAAGCCTCGGCCCATGACCTGGTGGCGCTACTTCGGTGCCTTCGGACGAAGCCCGTTTCGCCCGTCCATCGCGCGAGCGACGCGACGCGAGCGAGACGCGCGAAACGGCAGCTGGGATGCGAAGTCGTTTCCACCCCAACCAAGGAAGCTTACATCTACTTGTAGATGTCACGTCGCCTTATTGAATAACGACCATGTTGAGAGCAAACTCACACGCACGAATGTTTTGGGGCCTCGAGTTTGTGGCCCTCTTTTGTTGGCCACTGAGGTTCTCAACCTTGCAGGGCATTCCTGCTGTCATGCTACCTTGGATTCTTTCAGAACACATCACCGGCTACAGACAGCTACAAGCTACGACAAACACCATAAGAAGTTGGCCGCTTCCCGGAGTCCCGACTCGCCCCGCAACATGCCACACCCAAGGGTCTTGCCACGGGCGCAGAGATCAGACACTTTGACTTGAAAGGGGAAGGGTCCATCATCGCCGGCGAGCCAATGCATGACCCCTTTAAGCTTGGATCCCTGACACGCGATGACCAAGAGCTTCAGAGCACTGAGGCGTTTAAAGATTGCCTCCAGACAAAGCATCGGTGGGAACAACCTGCGCGATTGGGCTTTGTGCACAGAGCAAGAGAAGGTCAGAGCATTGCTAACTAGTTTTGCTCGTAGAGGCATGCCATCAAGACAGGATGCGTATCTTCAGAGGTTAACTTAATTGTTCGCTGTCTTAGGCAGAAGCACGGACCTCGCCCACTATGTGCGGCAGCGTTTCATCATGAGCTACCAGGGACGCTGTGGCGACAGGTCTGCGCAGGATACTGCGAAGTACAACACTTGCGGGATACAGACTAACACTGCGTACGCAGCGCTCCTGTTGGGCTTCAAGAAGCGTTTCAATCGGCAGCTCTTGCTGAAACAGAAGACCAGGCGGTGCAACACTGGTTAGAGACCATGCCTGGCATGGGGGGCACAGGGCTCAGGGCCCTGACAGCAATTCGGATTCTTCGGGATTTGGACATCTCTCGCACTTCAAGGTCCACAAAGTACTGCACTTCTAGGTCCACAAAGTACTGCACCTGCCACGAAACACGAAAAAATAAACAACGAACAAATCCAAAAATACATCCGCAGCCATCTGCAATTCATCCTGTGCATGGCGGTCCACGCCCCGTTTTTGTTATAAGTTCTGACTGGCGCAAAAAAACGGGCCATGCGAGACGCTGGAACCTTGCACGATCAGCTGGAGGCGGATAACACAGAAGCAGCCTAGCCAGTGGTCGCACAAGTAGGTCTCCGTCTGCCAGTGATCATCGAGGCGGTTGCCCCTTCACACGTGAAACAGGACATGAATACCTGGGCCGATGGGCTTACCCATGCGGATCCTGTCGGATTCGACCCTGCGAAACAACTGAAAGGGGTCTCACGGCCACTCCAATCCTGCACCCTTATGAGCTGGCTATTCCAGGAACTCTATGCACCAACCATTCCTTCATAGAAATGCCTTGGGGAGGCAGGAAGGTGGCCACTACTTCACCTGCTAGTTTTCTTTTCTTTCACTTCCATTCTCCTTACGACACCCTGAGCATCGAATCTTGATCCTAATCAATAAACTTTAATGCTGGTTGATTTACAAAAAAAATCAATATTTTTGAATTGATTTTTTTGATTTCCATATCAATATTTTTGGAAGCCTTTTCCCACCATCAAAATCAATATGCAAAATCAAAAAAAAATCAAAAGGGAAATCAATAAAATCAATATACCCTGAAAGCTAGCAGGCGCCTTTTTCCTTTCAGACAAGCTAGTCTGGACAGGCCTTTTGCAAGTCCACTGACCTTTTTCAAGGTCTAGGCATGCAGTTCCTTTTTCAAGGAGCTTGCAAGGGGAGTTGTCCTTTTTCAAGGTTCAATGTTTCTCCCTGCTTGCTCCATTCCTTCCCTGGTCAGAAGGAAATGGAGCAAAATTCTATATTTGGGAGCAACCTTTGCACTCACCCTTGTTGAAGACACCCCTGGACTTACAGAAGACGTGAGAATGCTCATCTTCCCAACAAAGTCTTCTGAGGAGAAAGTCCAGTTTGTCTTTGGGTTTAAGAATTTTGCATTCTCAACTAAATGTTGAAAAGTGTGATGTTTCATCACAATGTGGAAGAGGGATCTCCCTTTTTCAAGGGCCCAAGCAGAGAGAGAGCTATACTTTTTCAAGAAGCTCTCTCCCAGCTTCATGGCTTTGAGCCACTCCCCATTAGTCAAGAAGACATCTCCTTGATCAAACAGGTCAGTGAGCTTCGCCATGTCTTCCACTGCTTGCAACATAGTTGCTTCATGCTCTTTTTCAAGAGACACAAGATTCTGGAGGACAGGTGCAAAAGCCTGCAGAAACCATTTGGTCTCTGAGGCCTTGAGATCCAATTGAGCCATGCTTTTGTGGGGCTCCTTTGGATTGCACAGCATGCTCAAGCGCAGGTTGGTGACCCTGGTAGGTGTCTCCTGTGCAACATATTCTTTCTGCACAGCTTCAAAGATTGAACCCAATCTTTTTTCTGGAGACACCTTCTGGGTTTTTCCAACTCCATCATAATATAAAAAATAATGGATGCAACTACCAAGAAGGTGCCCAAGCACCCCCTTGGTAAAGAGGATATGCAAGCAGTCCCCTCGAACCATTTTAGTGCTCAAGCCTGGAATCACTCCTGAGAATAGATTATGGGCGCTCTTAGGATTTGCCAAAGCCTCCTCATTGGAGATTCTCTTCCAGGCTTGCTTCCCTTTTTCAAGGGTCTTGTAGCACATATTGGCTGGTTTTGCATCTTTCTTGGCTGAGCATTCCCAGCAAGGGCTTTTGGAAGCCCAATGGGGCAACTTTAGTGAATTACTGAAAAATTCATGGTCTCCTTGGGCCACCCACAAGACTCCACAGAGTCCATGGGCCAATGGCTTTCCTTTTTCAAGGAAAAATGGAGAATCCTTTTTCAAGGGCTTCCCCTCTGGGTCATGAGTTGGGTGGTAGCCATGCTGCAATGCAGCAAAGGACCAGCAAATCCACACCATCATTTCCTCCCAGGTTCCATCCAAAGTGCAGCTTTTGGGGAAGCCTGCTATATAGAAGTGTGAGGATAGGCTGGACATTTGCTGCAATAAGCTGCCCCAGCTGTAGACCATGAGGCTGTCTCTGTTTTGATATTCAACCCCATCCCCATGCATAAACAAAGGGATGGTTTTCTTCTTCCATGCTCTTTGCTGCATGGGGTGGTTTTTCAACCGGTCATCTCCTTTTTCAAGGGCTTGGTTCCAGAAGTCTTCCAATTTTTCAATTGGGAAAATGCTTTGGAACACATCCTCATAGCTGGAGGCAAGCTTGGAAAACATCTGGTGAGGGAGGAAGCATGCCGCAAATTCCACATCCTTTTTCAAGGATTTTGGATTTTTGCATGGGACCTGAACATCGCAGGGGTCAGGCATGCTCAGCTCTTTGCAGAAGCTGGCCATGAGGTCCCTGTGGATGTTGCCAGGATGCTTTCCATGGCTCCCACACTTGGCAATGGTGAACAGCTCTTCATGCTCTGCCCCATCTAGCATGGCACTTTCTGCCAGCCATCTGATGGTGGTACCACTAGCTTTTCCATGAGCCCATAGGCACAAAAGAGCTGTAGCCAAAGCACTCTTGCTGCCCCTTTTTGGTGTCTTGGTTGGGTTTTGCATTTCTTTTTCAAGCTGCCAACCTCTCAGCCTCTTGGCCATGGGCCAAGAGGCTTGGAACTTTTTCAAGCTCCCAAGGTTAAAAGTGTATCTCTTTCTTGGGCTTCTTCAAGCCCCCAGGCCTTTTTCAAGGCAATTGCAGAAGAATGCCTAACTAGCACTAACTATACTGAAGCTTGTGGGCCAAAATGAAGCTGCAGTTGCTTGACTGAAGTGGTTCAACCCAGTGTCCAACCCCAACCCCAACACCAGCATGCTGCAGGGAACTTTTTTCTCCAAGCGCTTCTTTACATAGCTTCAAGGCTATAGCTTTGTACACATCAAAACTGTACCTTTCTCAAGGTAATCATTTGGGTTTGGAGGAGGCTGCCTTGCTCAAGGCCTTCATCCCAATCTGAACAAGCTCTTTTGCCTCTTCCTTTGCATGCTTCATAGAGGCACAAGCTTCAACCAGGTGGCTCTTCACTTTTTCAAGTTTGTTCTTGTCCCCTTTTTCAAGGAGTTGCTTGGTCTTTTTCAAGACTTCAGTGAGGTTGGTGAGCACTTCCTGCTTGTCCTTGAAGGCCTGCTTGCTCAGATAGGGACTTTTTTCAACCTTTTTCAAGGCCTCCTCAAAATTGCTGTGGGTAGAGCTGAGCAAGTCCCTGGTCTTCTTAGCCTTTTTCAAGGCTTCAGCCAAGGTCAAGGGCTTCTCCTCAGGCTCATCCTCCATAGGCTGGTGGTCCTTGCCATGCCTCTTGCCCTTTCCACTCTTGCCCTTACCTTTTTCAAGGCTCTTGCCAGAGCCCTTGCCTTTTTCAAGGCACCCCAGCATCAGACTGTGCAAGTCCTTGTCCAAGGCTTCTTGCCAGTCCTCTTCATCCTCCTCCCCAAGCTCATACTCCTGGCCAAATTGCCAGGAGCATCTCTTCCTGCCCACCACCTCTTTTTCATAGTCAGCAGTGTCTTGGTATTCATAGACACCCCAGGTGGTGGGACACTCTCGCCAAATGACCCTTCCAGATTGGATGTGCTTTTCCAACTCTGCAGGGCTCCATTTGGCATTTGCCTCCATTTCACTCAGCCATTTCTCTTTCTTTTTCAAGGAGGTTTCTTTGGCTGCTTCTTTGGACACATGGGCATACACAGCTCTGTTCTTTTTGAGCAAGAACAGAGCTGTGCTGAGGCCTTTGCCCTTTCTGTCCAAACTCTCAAAATCCTTTTTCAAGGATTCATTCCCACACTTTTTCAAGTGTGTCTGGTGCTGGTTCCAAGCATTGCTCTTCTCACCAGGGGTCATCGACTGGTGGAGAACAATGGCTTGGGTCTCTTCATCAGAATGCTCTTCAACTGCATTC